AGATAGGGTGAATTATGTATGGCAAGATGCCAAGTCCTTTGAAGATTAGCTGCTGTTTATCTTGGAAAACATGTATATACTGGTTGCTACGTGTTCAGCTGTATGAAGTCGTAAAAATTTTTTCTCTCTTTGTAATCTCTTAGTGGAATACATGTGATGCCCTTCACACTCATCTATAATTGACTAATAAAAGTGTTTTTTTCTCTGTTGTCTTTCTGGTGAATATTTCTGATCTGGGAGATTATTTTGTTTTAATCATATTTCTCCAGCACTGGTTCTGTTGTAGAATGGAACAAATAAGAAAAGGGTAGAAAGGAAAAACATAAAAGAAGGACAAGAAAGTAAAATTTTAATTCAGAGGTTCCATATACTTTTCCACACCTGTCACTCTCAAATTCTTGGGAAATTTGTAAATCTACCTATATACTGTTAATTAACTCCCCAATAAATAGAGTAAGGGAAGGGAGAGGCATTATTTTAATAAACCTCTAATTTAGGGGATTTTCTAGTACTATCTACTGATCATATAAGGAAGACCACATCAGCCTGAGGATCTTGATATTGACCAGACACTAGACTGTCTTGCAATAACCAGTCTGGTATACCCTCTTGTACCCAACCTTCTTGACATACCTTCTTGTACCCAACCACCCCCTCCCCCCACGCCCACATCTCTCCCTCTCAAGATGGCCTGCATTCTCCCTTGAAGGCATATTCCTCGCTTTATCCCCCAAAGCATCACTCTCTTGAGAGGACCCTCATTCTCCCTTAAATATGTATCTACATTCCTAAATGAACCTCTGTCTATGCCTCAGGCATATGCTGACATTCTTTTCTGTTCTGACTGCCAAGAACCCTGATGGTCCGAAGTCAAGTTCTCCCTATTCTCTGGGTACTCCTTAGATTTTCCCCAGAGACACCTCTTCTCCCATGATGGCTCTCCAGCAATCTTTCTCCTCTATCTTTTGATACCAGATTTTAAGTACTTAGTGTTTTTAGGTTCTGTCTGAAATTATAGCCTTGAAAGATATCACTTTCTCAAATGGATGTTACCGCTGCCCTTGTTGTCTCTTCTTCTGTGCCACTGGAAAAAACTGCAAATATAAGGTCCTTGGGATGTTTTGCATTTAATAGGAATGTGTTTCATAAATATCTACAAAATTCCATTTTCTCTATATTCTGGAGTTAGAAGGTTTTTTAAAAACCTCCTTAATTTTAGATATAAAAATAATAACTTTCTAAAGTTCTTATTCTTATCTTACTTGAGATTTCAGTTTTAAGGAATAAATGTTAATTGCTAATGTTGAGTTGAATTTTAACTAAGATTGCTGACCTTTCCTCTATTAATATTAATATTTGTAGGGTCAATTTCACTTATTAACAATGGAGAGAAAGTACAATCATTGCCATTAAGAATCTCAGTCTCTAGAATATGATTTAAAGGAATTGAAGGTGATCTCAATCAGGTCCTTTGTACTCCTAGGATTTCCTTCCAAACAGACTTGCAGTTGTACCTTTCAGGCAAAATATGTACAGAAAAATGCCTATTAAAATAGATTCTAAAGCTATTATTACTGAGACCTAGTCAGAGAGAACACATTATACAGTGACTGTTAGAGCCTACAAGGGAATGGCATAGTTAATGTGAACCAAAGACGCTCACTGCAGCATGTGAAAAAGTATTTTGAAGGTCATTTGCACATAAATGAAGAGTTTTCTTCCCCGTTACTGCCTGTTAAAGTTTTAAAGCATGCAGCTTTAGAGGGATGGGAGTCTGATGATGCTGTGGACGGTATGTTATAAGCAGTAGTCCATCTTATTTTCCATGTGATGGTCATTAAGTTCAGGTCAAGTAGAAGGCTTTTCTGTAGTTCTGTGACTACTGCCGTGAAATCATCAGCTTGGAGAAAATGAGTAGTTGTGTGAAACACCTTGGCCAAGCACAAAACAAATCTTCCCCAAAATCTTAAAAAATACTAATCAGCCCTTTCACATGTCTAGTTTTAATAAGTAAGCAATTCATTTAAGTTTAAGTGAATGAGTACTTTATTAAAAATCTACCATGTGCTTTGCCAAGCACTCTGTATATTGTAAAGAATGTAGAAGGTATAGTCTCTACCTTTTAAAAAAAATAAAAATAAAAAATCACAATATTCAGACAGAATTGGGCTAAACTGAGCAGAAGTCCAGAAATAATTTTCTAACTTTTTGAGGAATACAACATAGTGATTTATATTATTGCTTATAAATGGAACCTATTTTAAATGGCTTACATTTACATAACAGCTTTCCTTTTGTTCCTTCTGTTGTCCCAAATATTTGCTTGTCTAGAATTTTATGGTTCTCTGCAGAGGACTTTCCTCCTTAGTATAAAATGTAGATGATATGGTTTCTTCCAAACCATAAAGATGAATTTGATATCAGTATCTGGGGACATTCAAGAAAAGAAAATTTCAAGATGGAGTGAAAAATGTTGACAAAGAAAAAATGATTCAATGATAATTTTTAAAGCAAAATAAGGAGCACTTTACTTGGGACCATTATGGTAGGTACAGGGACATTTTCAAAGTGCCCTTGCAATGGGAGATACAAATACAGCATGGTCAAGTAGGATTTTATAGCCAAGCAGCAGAGGAGGTCAATGGATAGTAAATTACTAAGAGGAAGCATTAAGGTTTAGGGGGGATTCTGGTTAAACTGACCTAATAAGGTTCATCCTGAAGATAGGCCAAGCTAATCAGATATCACCTGGTGGACGGAGTATGATAATGAATGCAATCAAGTATAGAAGAGTCTCACATATTCAGGGTGGAGGATTCTCACTAAACTGACTTATCAGCATTCTTTATTAAAATGTATTTTATACAAAAAGTGCACAAATAGGTCTAGCAGAGGATTCAGGAGCCTAGTTAACATTCGGCCAAGCAAAGAATCTTTGTCAGTGTCCACTGGACAAATAACAGGTAGATGTGAATCGTGGCAACGTGAGATTAAGGGAATAATTTTCCAAACTGGGCCTATTGTGCTGATCCTCATATACTGTCTTTTAAAAAGCAATTTACCAGCAGCCCCACCTAGCTTCGGTCAATAGAATATGTTATATTCCTGAGCAAACAATCTGTTAAAGACAAGAGAAATGCAGGCCTCAAAGGCTCCTCCCTGACAATAGGAAGAAGAGAAGTTACCCAGAAGTAGGGACTTATGTGATCTTTAGGCAAACCAGATTCCAGAAATGAGCCAAAGTGATCCAGAAATGCCTTGGATCTTTAGAAAATCTCCACTCCATTAGGTAAAACTATGTGCAGTGAGGTTTGAAAGTCTGATGCAATCCAGCTATCAGTCAAAGTGAAGAGGTGGATCTATGCAGGACTTTCTGGAAACTTTCCTGGGGATCGCCCCCGACAAGAAAAATTAAAGGCAGTGGTCACACCATCCCTCTCCTCTCTGAGAGGACCTGCCTTCTTCCTTAAATGTGCCCCCCATTTCCCTTCTAATCAACATGTGCCTGCTACTCAGAGCAATACGTCTGAACTCTTTCTGGTGTGATCACAAGAATGGCAACCAAGCCATAGTTGCCTGGGCTGCCTCAGCTCTGTCACAGATCCTTGCTGAGTAACACACTCCTGTCTCTTTTGCTCTGTTTTCCAAGGAAAAATAAGGCTGGATGAGAAGATGAAGATGACCCTGACAAATTTAGGAGAATTGATGTAATATCGCTGGTTTGAAGGAAATAGGAAAATAACTTATTTTGAGACAATTATGAGTTACCATGGCTCAGGGACATGGAATTCACTTACCCTGAATGACATGTTCCACCATGGGAGAGGTTATATGAACTTTTACAGTCACAGAAAAAATATCATAAATCAATGCATTTATCAGTTATGTTTGGTGAACATATTAGATAGACGGGCTACAGCACAGCAGGGAAATCTCTTCCATAGGTTTCAGATGTTATATGGTATTGTTAGAGTAGGATAGCAGATATGAGCAGGGAGAGGTATAGAGGTTCACTCCACCTCTGCTGACAGAAAATCCCACCCTCTTTCCTGATGAGACACTTCCTCCTCCTCCTCTTCCTCCTCCTCCTCCTCTTCCTCCTCCTTTTCATTTTATGCTCTTTATATTTTGACCACAATTTCTTTCTTTAATGATGGGATTTGTTGTTACAAAATTATTTGTACACAATATATCAAAATAATTTGGTCAACATCACTCCCTGGTATTTCCTGCCTCCCTACCCATCTCCCACCCCTGGTCCTATTCTCTCACAGACTGGGAGACAGAGACTCTACCTCCTTCAATTAGTACATTTCAAAGGGATGGCCCTCAGGTCCTGGAGAAAGGTTATCATTGGGTTGTAGATCCACATTTCAAAGGGGGTAAAGAGAGAATTCCACAACTGCAAGTTTTCTAAAGAAGTAAATGATTCAAGAAAGGGAAGATAAAGTGTTTATTGTTAGGAGAAGGTATTCTAAAGTATAGTCAAGCTAAAGGGAACATCTTGGTTGCATAACATGTAAAATATGTTCGATTTTTTTTTCCTCTCTCCTTCTCACTCTGCCCCCATACACAGTACTCCTCCCCACCTTCAATCAATGAAGCCACATCTTAGGATATCAGGTACATTAAGATATTAATCATTGTTGCAACGTGTATGACCTGACAACGAGCATCTAGATCAAGATTCATTTATAATATTAATCATAGATTTAGCAATAATCAATTAGAGAATGATGAAATGTATTTATTAAAACATTAAATATAACAATGATAATGTACATATACTATAAAGATAATTGAACATATCATCGTAAGTTATTTGAGACATTTTGTGAGATATGAATAAAGTAACCATTATACATGTAGTCATTAAATACAATGTACAAGATAATTTTTTTGATAGCATATAATTTAGGAAAGGTAGTGTTATGGAAATAGGTCTATTTTACTAAATAGCAGACATTTTCTAAGTTAGTGTTAACATAAAATATTAAAATATTCTAAATTATAAATGTGATTAAAATTCCAAAGAAAAATCAATGTTGATGAAATATTTAAATAAAGTATATTACAAAATATTGATCATATACCCTGATTCCAATTCATTTTGCTTGACTTGCTCATTCAAATCCAGATGCACATTCTGTTAGAATGTGACATATATTTTAGAACAATTCCTCAGCTTCCACTGATCTTCAATATTAGAAGATTTAACAATTTATAATCATCCAGGACTTGGATTGTTATTAGTCAACCCTAGTTTCTGAAGCTGATAGATATAAGCTGACCTGTTGATTTTTAAAGGCCAGTATTGGGTTATTTATAACCTATTTATAAAGTTTTAACAATATAGAATCCAAATGAAAATGCTATGGTCAAAGACCAGAAAAGAATTTACTTCAAAAAGCTAATAAAAATATGAAAGGAAAAAATCAAGAGTTGAAGATTTTTAAAAAATGGAGTAAGCATAGCTGCTGGTATAATGAGGCCTAAGTTTAGTGACATAAACTTTTAGTGGGCCATAATTAACTTCTGTGATTTAATAGTTGGCAGAAAAAGGAAAGTCAACTGTCCTCTGGGTCTCACACATTCCTTCTTAAAATGGTCCTTGACTTGAGCCAATGCCAATTGTTTAAAAAATAGCAGTGGTATCAGTAAAGACTCTGATACTTTTGTTTTCCAATTCTGTCTTTCAGTTGGGTATTGGAGGATGACATAGTATTGTACATAAGAAAGCACAGGATTTGGAGAGGGACTACCTGAGTTTGAATTTTAGCCTTACTGCTTACTACGAATCATCACTCACCAAATCGTTGTATTTAACCAGAGTTCAAATAAGTACTGTCCATTGGAGGTAGGTACTTTTGGGTACTCTGTGAATTATACTGGGGTAAGTGATCCGAGCAAGTTATTTAACCTCAGTTTTTTCACCTCTCATATTGAAGATAAAACCATTCATAGGACAGGGTTTGTCTGAAAGTTAAATGAAATTAATAACCATGTAGCTGGGTGGCCAATTAGAAATTTCAACTGAGGAACCAAGATAGAAACGAGATGATAAAGTGGTCTTGTAAGATAGAGAATTCCATAGGAATTTCAGGGTGGATTAGATGATGGCACATTGTAGGTATAAAAAAATTATTGGAAGTGAGGAAATTTCTGAGCAACACCTCCTTGAAGAGAACACTTCTGTCCTGAATCTACCCTTGCCATCATGTGAAGGCATAAGAGTACAGATGTCTTCAAATTTCCCTTAGGGCATGGCTTTAGTCAAAACATTCAAAGAACTTGATGAATGTCCTCTAACTTGAGGGAGATGGTAGACAGGAGTATTATTCCTACTCTAAAAATCTGGTGAATTTTCATGGCAGAATATGTTAGTTAACTTTCCATCACTGTGAAAAAAATGCCTGAGAAAATTAACTTGATAGAGAAATTTTTTTATTTTGTCTCATAGTTTCAGAACTTTCAGTCCATGGTCACTTGGCTCTGTTGTTTCTGGGCCTGCAGTGAAGCAGAACATGGTGGGAAGCACATGGCAGTGTAAATCTGTTCACCTTGCAGCAGCCAAGAAGTAAAGAGAGTGCTGGCTTTTATAATAAGACCTCTGACCCCAAACCCATTAAGCTATGAACACATAATCCATTCACGATGCCAGAGCCCTCATGATCCAATCACCTTCAAAGGCCCCACCTCTGCACATCCTACATTGGAGTCTAAGCCTTCAACACATGAACTTTCGGAGAACACTGAAGATCCAAAGCATAACACAGAGCAAAGTCAAATTCAGTACCTTGGGTTTGTCCTGCATTTCTGAAGGTTTTTCTATGGGGAAAAAAAATAGGGCATGAATGTTTTCTGTAGACCAGATGTGTTAGATGTGTCAGAGAAGATGAATTTGAACTATGAAATTTCTAAGAGCTGAGGAGAGGGAAAGGGACCTTATGAAGTCTGTTCTGCTGGAGCCCAGGGAGCTTTGAGGGAGAGATTGCTAGCAACCACATGGGAGAAGGGTCAGTTGAGGCACACTGCTAGGCACAGAGAACAGGCATAAAGTGTCTGTTCACATGATCTTCCTATACTCCTTTTCTTTCTATACCATCTCCCTCCCCTATCAAATTGGATAATTTGATTATTAAATGGAAAGGGGGAATTTTCTCTTTACTAAACTGAGAATGTTTATAATGAACACAGATGGCAGGACTTTCTGTTACCAGTGACAGAAAATGCAAAGAGCCCATCAAGTTTTCTTTCAGTGGAGAGAAAGAAGATTCCCCATTAAGTATATTTCAGGAAGAGAAAAAAAAAAAAGTTTCATTCTGATCCCAGGAGTCAACTTCATTCAATGGACATATTATAAATGTAAAGCAGCTGAAATGATGACTGGCATGTAATCAGCATTACAAAAATCTGAGAGCTTCTTTTTGTAAGCCTATTTTGCTATAATGATTTTACTTACTTACAGACCTTTGCTTGAACCTCTAAGGTGAACAATGCCTGGGAATTTGTTTCAACTTTTGCATAAATAGCATAAAGTTTCCTTTGACAGTTTTAAAAGTTGTGTACATTATAAAAGTCTTCATATTTGGATTTTTGCCTAATTTGCCTTACCTTTTTGAGCTTGTAAATATTCTGGCATTATTTTCCCAATATTCTGAAATTTCACTTTGCATAATTTCTTTGGATAAATGGAGTTTCTGATTCATGGCTGACACCCCTTTTAAGCGTCAATTTTCTGGACCTTTCCCTGATTTTTCCTCATGTTTTGTCAAGTCATACATGCAGGGCATCTGGCCTCCAGACTTGCTCACACTAGTGGCCTTATGCTCCCACACTGTCCCAGCTGCTCATGGCTGCAGTCATTCTGAGTCACCATTTTAATCATCTCAACTATATGGCATTTCTCTTCTCTTCACAATAGTTCAGCTACTTAATGAAGTGACACCTTTTAAAAATCCAATTCTGCCACAGGTTAATATAAACAATATTTCTAAGTACTTTTTTCTACTGTGAACATCTATATCATTCTACATGTGGCTGTTCTTACCTTTATCTATCTATCTATCTATCTCCTTCTCCCACCGCCCCTGCAAAAAAAAAATTATCAATGGGGGTATAGCTCAGTGGTACAGCACGTACTTAGCACGTATGAAGCATGGGGGCCAATCCCCCCTGCAAAAAAAAAAAAAAAGCTGGGTGAAGGAAATTTCTTGTGTTACTAGTAGAAATTCAGCTATAACTTTTTTTCTATTTTGAAGAATTTAATGTGCCAACAGGGAGGGAGAGGGCACAAGAATTGGAGGCATAAAGCATATAAATTGTAATCTTGACTTTCAATGGAAACACAGAGCATAATAAAACTCCTCTTCTTCCATCAGAAATAAGAGAAGATGGATGTTCTTTCCCCTGAGTGTGCTGCTGTACAGTGATTGCACTGGAAACAGAGTTTAGAGCACACACACACACACACACACACACACACACACACACACACTAATAAAGTGTACATATCTCTTGCTCCAGAGGAGCTGCTTTAATAAAAAAGAACTGTGGAAGACATAGCAATAAGGATCTGATAGAGGATGATGTAATTATTGCTGACTTGATTTGCACATATTTATACTGTGAGTGCTGGTGACTCCCTTTGGGTCAGTTGTTTCCTGAGCCTGTTTATTTTATTCATGCTGACAGGAGGACTGCTTACAAACCACATGCACATCATCAAAAATTTACTCATGATTGAATTGATATAGCACCCTTCTTCTCTGGCGCTTACTGTGCTCCACATGCGACTTTTAAATTGTACAACTAATTTTTTGATGAGTACTTACGTGTGGAAACAGTAAAACAGCACAATATGGAGCCTGGAAAATAAAAGAGATGGGCAATGTTAAGACAGGGACAGGACTTGATTACTTGTGACCCTAGGGATGTTCAGCCCAAATGCACACTTTAATTCCATGAACAGAACCACCGTCTAGCCCAGAATTCTATTAAAATTGAGCAGGGAATGGAGCAAGGGAGATAGAAATCTGTTTCCTTTACTGACTCCCCTTTGCTTTGCAGAGCAAGCTCTGAGGAGCCACCACTCAATTCTGTCTTTATTGGTCCCTTTTAGGAGACCAGATGTGAAGCTAATGGCCAAATCTCCAGCCAAATTGTGACTTCTTCTGTCTTATTATAAGAATAGCACTGAATGGTGGGGATACAGAAGGGAGATGGTAAAGCTTTATAAATTCTCCCCCAAAGCCATAAACCAGAGAATTCACTAGTGATAGTCTTAGCTGCACTGGTGGGTGTAAGAAAGTGCTTCTGATGCCCAGGGAGTAAATGTTGTTCTCACTTCCAGTTCTGTTCAGTGATGCCCTTGAATTTTTGTCTTTAGGGAAATAGCAGATTTCCAAGCCTTAGGAAGGTCCAGAAGCTTCCAGACTAATGAAAGGGATCAGTTTGAAAGAAAGTGAAGACATGGGCACCAAGAACAGTGTTACCTGCAGCATATGAATCATCCCTGCATAAGCACTTTGCTGAAAATTTCTCAGATTTTAACAGAGTGCCTGACATATAATAGATGCCTAATAAGTATTTGTTGAATCACTAAATGAACACATGCATGAATTCCAATTGTTCTTTCTCTTTATGTCTTTTCCACATAAAATTTATTTCTACAGATGCAGACAAAGCATTTGACAAAATATAGCACCCCTTTATGTTCAAAACACTAGAAAAACTAGGGATAATAGGAACATATCTCAACATTGTATTTATGCTAAGCCCCAGGCCAACAGCATTCTAAATGGAGAAAAATTGAAGGCATTCTTTCTAAAAACTGTAACAAGACAGGGAAGCCCTTTTCACCACTTCTATTTATCATAGTTCTTGAAACACTGGCCAGAGCAATTAGACAGACGAAAGAAATTAAAGGGATACACATAGGGAAAGAAGAACTCAAATTGGTACTATTGCTGATGATATGATTCTATACCTAGAAGATCCTAAAAGTTCCACCAGAAAACTTCTAGAACTAGTAAATGAATTCAGCAAAGTAGCAGGATATAAAATCAACACCCATAAATGAAAGGCATTTCTGTATATCAGTGATAAATCCTCAGAAATGGAAATGAGAAAAACTACTCATTTACAATAGCTTAAAAAAAAAAAAAAAAAAAAAAAACTTGGGAATCAACTTAAAGAAAGAGGTGAAATATCTCTATAATGAAAATTTACAGAATCCTAAAGAAAGAAGTCAAAGAAGACCTCAGAAGATGAAAAGATCTACCTTGCTCTTGGATAGTCAAATTAATATTATCAAAATGTCCATACTTCCAAAAGCACTATACAGATTTAATGAAATTCCATTCAAAATCCCAATGACATTCCTCACAAAAATAGAAAAAGCAGTCATGAAATTCATCTGGAAAAATAAGAGACCCAGAATAGCTAAATCAATCCTTAACAGGAAGAGTGAAGCAGGTGACATCACTATACTAGACCTTAAACTATACTACAGAGCAATAGTAACAAAACCAGCATGGGATTGGCACCAAAACAGACTGGTAGACCAATGGTACAGAATAAAGGACACAGAGACTAACCCACAAAATTTCAATTATCTAATATTAGACAAAGGTGCCAAAGACATGCACTGGAGAAAAGATAGTATCTTCAACAAATGGTGCTGGGAAAACTGAAAATCCTTGTGCAACAAAGTGAAATTAAACCCCTATCTCTCACCATGCACAAAACTCAACTCAAAGTGGATCAAGGACTTAGGTATACAACCAGAAACCCTGTATCTAACAGAAGAAAAAGTAGGCCCTAATCTCCATGATGTGGGATTAGGCTCCAACTTCCTTAATAACACTCCTGTGGCGCAAGAATTAAAATCAAGAACCAATAAATGAGATGGACTCAAACTAAAATGTTTCTTCTCAGCAAAATAAATAATCTGTGAGGTGAATAGAGAGCCTACACCTTGGGAGCAAATTTTTACTCCTCACATATCAGATAGAACACTAATCTCTAGGGTATATAAAGAACTGCAAATTGATGCAGCCAATATGGAAGTAGAATGGAGATTTCTTGGAAAACTGGGAATGGAACCACCATTTGACCCAGCTATCCCTCTTCTTGGTCTATACCCAAAGGACTTAAAAACACAGCCACATCAATGTTTAGAGCAGCACAAGTCACAATAGCTAAACTGTGAAACCAATCTAGATGCCCTTCAACAGATGAATGGATAAAAAAAAGTGTGGCATATGTACACAATGGAATATTACTCAGCAATAAAAGAGAATAAGATCATGGCATTTGTAGGTAAATGGGTGAATTTAGAGAAGATAATGCTAAGTGAAGTTAGCTAATCCCAAAAAAACAAATGCCAAATGTTTTCTTTGATATAAGGAGACTGATTCATAGTGGGATAGAGAGAGGGAGCATGGAAGGAATAGACAAACTCTAGATAAGGCAGAGGGTTTGGAGGGGGAGGGAGGGAGCATGGGATTAGAAATGATGGTGGAACATGATGATCATTATTATCCTAAGTATATGTATGAAAACACAAATTGGTGTGAATATACTATGTATACATCCAGAAAAATGAAAAATTGCACTCCATATGTGTAATAAGAATTATAGGGCATTCCACTGTCATAAAATTAAAATAAATAATTAAAATACATAGACTGGCAGATTGGATTTAAAAAACCCTACAGTATGCTGCCTTCGAGAGATTCATTTTACACAAAAAGACATCCATAGACTGAAGGTGAAAAGGTGGGAAAAAACATACCACTCACATGGACCACATGAACAAGCAGAGGTTTCCATCCTCATATCAGATAAAGTGGACTTCAAACCAAAGTTAGTCAGAAGGGATAAAGAAGGTTTTTATAATGTGTAAGAGAATCATACATTAATAAGACATGACAATTGTAAATATTTATACCCCTTAAAATGGAGCAGCTATGTATATCAAACAAACCTTTCTAAATTTTGAGAATTAATTAGACCACAATACAATAATGCTGGGGGACATTAATATACCTCTCTCATCTCTGGATAGATCTTCCAAACAAAAACTAAACAAAGACACCATAGAACTCAATAATGTGATCAATAATTCAGACTTAACAGACATATATAAAACATTTCATCTATCAATGAGTGAGTACACATTTTTCTCATCAGCACATGGATCCTTCTCTTAAATAGACCATATATTATACCACAAAGCAACTCTTAGCAAATACCAAAAAATGAATACACTACTCTGCATTCTATCAGACCATAATAGAATGAAATTATAAATCAATGGAAAAGTAAAAAATAGAAGCTACTACAACACCTGGAGACTAAATAATATGCTATTGAATGAATCATGGATAAAAGAAGACATCAGGGAGGAGATAAAAAAATTTTTAGAAGTAAATGAGAACTCTAATACAACATACCAAAATCTCTAGAACACTATGGAGACTGCACTGAGAGGAAAGTTCATTGCATTAACCCCATTCATTAAAAGAATATAAAGTCAACAAATAAAAGACCTAATATTGCATCTCAAAGCCCTACAAAAAGAAGAACAAATCAATACCCCAAATAGTAGAAGACAGGAATTAAAATCAGAGCTGAAATCAATGAAATTGAAACCAAAGACATAGTGAAAAAATTGACAAAACAGCAATTGTTCTTTGAAAAACTAAATAAAATTGATAAACACTTAGCCACCTTAATAAAAAAAAAAGGTGAAATAAAACTCAAATTACTAAGATTTGTGATGGACAAGGAAATATCACAACAAATACTATTGTAATGCAGAATATAATAAGAAACTATTTTTAAAATTTACACTACAATAAAATATAAAATCTCTATACACTGACAAATTTCTAGAGACATTTGATCTTCCCAAACTGAATTGGGGGGACATTAACAATTTAAACAAATCAATTTCAAGCAAAGAAATAGAAGACACTATCAAATGCTACCAACCAAGAAAAGCCTAGGACCAGAAACATTCTCAGCTGAGTTCTACAAGGCTTCAGAAAAGAATTAATACCAATACTCATCAAATTATTCCATAAAATAGAAAAGAAGGGAACCCTTCCAAATTTATTCTATGAGGTAGTATCACCCTGATACTACCAGACAAAGACACATCAAGCAAAACAAAACAAAACAAAAGAAAAACAAAAAAATCTTTAGACCAATATCCCTGATGAGCACAGATGCAAAAATTCTCAATAAAATTCTGGCAAGTCACATACAAAAATACATTAAAAAGACAGTGTACCATGATCAAGTGGGGTTCATCACAGGAATGCAAGGTTAGTTCACATAAGGAAATTGGTAATGCATCACATAAATAGACTTAAAGATTAAAAATCATGTTATTATCTAAATAGATGCAGGCAAAGATGTGACAAAATACAATCCTCTTTCATTTTCAAAGCACTAGAAAATCTAGGAATAGTAGGAACATATGTCCACATTGTAAAAGCTATCTATGCTAAGCCCAAGGCCAACATCATTTTAAATGGAGAAAAATTGGAAGTATTGCCTCTAAGAACTGGAACACGACAGGGATGCCCTGTTTCATCACTCCTACTTAACACAGTTCTTGAAACTCCAGCCAGAGCAATTAGACAGATGAAGAAAATTAAAAGGGTACAAGTAGGAAAAGAAGAACTCAAACTGTCACTATTTGCCAATGACATGATTCTATACTTAAGGAATCATATAAACTCCACCAGAAAACTTATAGAATTGATGAGTGAATTCAGCAAAGTAACAGGATATAAAATCAATACCATTAAATCAAATGCATTTCTATACATCAGCAATGAATCCTCTGAAAGAGAAACTAGGAAAAGTACCCCATTCACAATAACCTTTAAAAAATACTTGGGAATCAATCTTAAAAAGAATTGAAAGACCTATACAATGAAAACTATAGAACACTAAAGAAAGAAATTGAAGAAGACTTTAGAAGATGGAAAGACCTCCCTTGTTCTTGGATAGAAAGAATTAGTATTCTCATAATGGACATACTACCAAAAGTGTGATACAGATTTAACGCAATTCCAATTAAAATCCCAATGGTATTCCTCATAGAAATGAAATTGATTTAGAAAAATAAGAGACCCAGAATAGCCAAAGCAAGAAAAGTGAAGCATGAGACATCAAAATACCAGAATTTGGGCTAGGGATGTGCCTCAAGCGGTAGAGCGCTCACCTGGCATGCATGTGGCCTGGGTTCGATCCTCAGCACCACATACAAACAAAGATGTTGTGTCTGCCGAAAACTAAAAAATAAATATTAAAAAATTCTTTCTCTCTCTCTGTCTGTCTCTCTCTCTCTCTCTCTGTCTCTCTCTCTCTCTCTCTCTCTCTAAAAAAATACCAGACATTATACTACACAGCTATAGTAATAAAAATAGCATGGTATTGGTACCAAAATAGACATGTAGACCAATGATATAGAATAGAAGACACAGCAACAAACCCATATAAATACAGTTTACATACATTGGAGAAATGATAGGCTACTCAACAAATGGTGCTGGGAAAACTGGACATCCACATGTAGCAAAATGAAATTAAATCCACCATTTTTCACCATGAACAAAACTCAAAGTGGATCAAGGACCTATTAATTAGACCAGAGACCC